AATACGCGGTAGAACTCCACGGTCAGCCCGTCCATGCCCGGAGATTTATTGGTGGGCATGCGGCGGAGGGCTTCCGAGAACTCGGCCAGAGTGAGAGGCAGCTCTAGCCGGTCTCGGTCGCCCGTGCTGACCGTCGGGAATTCGTCCCAGAGCACTCTGCAAGCGTTAGGATCGGTCGGAGCCGGGGAGAAAAGGTCTGCGTAGAAGGCCCTGGCCCTCCCGCACATCTCCACCGGATCCGTGAGGGGGGTGCCGTCCTCTGCGAGGAGGCAAGTGATGTGCTTCTTGGCCCCCCTCTTTTTTCTCCAGGGCGTAGAAGAAGCGGGAGCCGTGATCCATCTCCCGAAGGAGGCGGATGCGGGATCGAACAAAAGCGCCCCGGGCCCGATGGTCCTCGAGGGCCCGGAGCTCCTCCCGCTTCTCCCGGCACGCTCCGCAGAGGGATGGATCCTCAGGGCTGGCGGCCAGACGCCTCTCCAGCTCGAAGACCTCCCGTTCCAGCTGCCCCATCGCCGCATCCCTCCGTCGGCTGGCGCCCCGGGTGTAGTCGCGGCAGAAGAGCCGGGCGCGCACCTTCCCTAGGTCCCACCACCGCCGCGCCGAGGGAAAGGCACGCCGCTGCCCTCGCCAGGCCAACCAGAACTCCCGGAAGGACGCCACGAAGCCCACGTCCTCCAGCAAGCTGTTATTAAAATGCCAATAGGCCGGCCCTGGCCTCTCCGCACAGAGAGAGACCGTCACGGTGGCCAGGTGATGATCGGAAAACGGGGCCGGCCGGATGCTGGAGGAGTGGGCCTGTGAGAGATGGAAGCGTGACAAATAGATACGGTCCAACCGGGAGTGGCGCGCCCAATGGGCCTCCACCGGGACAATGGTGGGGCGGGGGGGCACGTGGGGTACAGGAGTCTGATAGAGGCAAATATACTGGCCACTGGATGAACAGGTTTCTGTTCCCTGAGTGACTTGAGCAGGGACTGCTCCAGGCTAATGAGAACACCCGACTCCAATTAACCTGCAAAGAGTCAGGTGAGGCTATTAAGGTAATGTGAACACCTGACTCTAATTAAGGCCCCTCTGATACTATAAAAGGGCTCACTCCAGTCAGGCTGAGGAGAGCCAGGGGAGAGGAAGTGTGGCTGAAGGGCTGGTTAATGAAGGCACCCTCAAGCCATCAGTAAGGGAGCCCTAAGGTATGGGTGAAGAAGAGAGAAGCGGGAGAGCTGTGGGGAACTGGCTCAGGGAAATGTAGAAACTCTGGCAGTGAATGGTCAGCAACCAACAGCTGTCACCATTAGGGTCCCTGAACCGGAACCTGGGGTTGAGGGTGGGCCTGAGTTCCCCCCAACCTGCCACTTCAGAAACACCTCCTGGGAGGGGAAGACAGGCCCCTGTCAGGACAGGAGTCTAAACTGTTCTGAAATAAGCCCCTAGGGACAACAGAGACTGTGGGACTTCTCTCACCAACCTCCTTGCTGGCTTATGACGAAAAGGGCTCAGTAGACTGTAACCCTGGCCCGAGAGAGAGAAGGGCTATGTGGAAGGTCACGGTGAGCCACTGAGGCTAGCATAAACCGCCTAGAAGTGCGGGACCCATGGGGACAAGGTCGGAGCTCTGCCACACTAACTATGTGCATTGGAGGCTGATCAACATATATTGCTTACGTGTAGTAAAAACTTATGTTTCTTTTCCATAAGGGTTTTATATTGTGTGTGTATTTAGAGATTACTAATAAAAGAAAATTAGTTTTATTGGGTTATAGTCAAGGTTTTTGTGTCATGGTGATATGCATTAGTTTATAATTACTGTGTTTTTATATTTAGACAGCATAATAATTTTGATCTTATTACAAAACACAAGCATTTAAAAGTAAGTGACTGATAGGTAACTACAGTAGAGCCTCAGAGTTACAAACACCTTGGCAGAGATTGTTCATAACTCTGAAATGTTTGTAACTCTGAAAAAAACGTTATGGCTGTTTCAGAAGTTTACAACTGAGCACTGACTTAATACATCTTTGAAACTTTACTATGCAGAAGAAAAATGCTGATTTCCCTTACTTTTTTAATAGCTTACATTTACAGTACTGTATTTCCTTCTTTTGGGGGGGGGGGGCATTTCTGCTGCTTAATTGTGTATTTCTGGTTCCAAATGAGGTGTGTGATTGACTGGTTAGTTCATAACTCTCTGGTGCTTGTAACCCTGAGGTTCTACTGTACATTGTTCCAGCACAACCACCATACAGCATAGAAAAAGCACCACAACCTTATCTTCACCCCAGTAAAGGTATCAACCATTCAACACCCCTTTCTTCAAACCTGAGCATGTGTAATTTCAGAGAACTGTGCAGAAAGGACAGTAGGGGAGGGAGGTATGGTCTGTTTGGGTATACATATGCTGCAGTTAAACACAGTGGCTGGAGTTGCGTAAGATTTGGGGATCGGATGTTGGAAGGTTGGTATCTGTAGGCAGAGTTAAGGTTGTGATGCATGTGCATCTCTAGGTGGTTGTCTAGATTAAAAGGTATGTTCTACTGGTACTCAACTCTTCATTTCCTTGCTTTTAGGTTTGCATTAAGTATGTTACTTAGAGCAGCCTTTATTAAGAGTGGGGGTTGTGGGTGTTTACACATACGAGCATACACATATAACAGAGAATGTCCAATTTAGGTCCTTTGAAGTCTGAGTGGTGTGAGAGGTGGGGACCTTGTATCGGAGTTTGGGGATCTCCCATCCTGAGCAATTTTTGGAAAGTATCTGCAGTTTGGGGCATTGTGGTCTATTCAGGAGGCAAATGTTGCATTTTAGAATGTTTTTTACTTAAAGGAAAAGCCATTTCTGACAGAGATTAGAACAGAATGCAGAGAAGCAGAAAATTTCCTCCCAACTTTCTTTCAACTGAGTGGCAGAATGTTAAGAAGGGGTTCTGGAAAGTCCCACAAAGCTCCCTGTAGAACAACAGTGAGCTGTAACAAACTACACATCAGAGATTCAGTCTCTGGAAAACATCCATTTGTGGTCACTTGAAAAAGCTCTCAACAACAAATGTTACCAATTAGTCTCTGAATGAAAAGCAAGCCTGAAAACAGCTGATATCATACATATTTATATTGAAGGTTCCATTTTATCTGGGAAGAGATGGTGCAGCCCAGAATAAAATAATTCATCCAAGTGCATTTCTTCCTCTTATTGGAGGCTTCTTCATGAACTTATTTATAAATCTATTGCTAATTACATATATGATTAAAAATCCATACCTAGTCCTCTAAACCTATCATACTTTATTTTTAATAAGTGAAAAATGAAATAACATCTGCAACTATTTTTAAGATGGCTCTTCCTGTCTTTGAAACTTAGTCTTTGAACAGATAAAATGAGCATATGTATTCTTTTCTCTCAAACCACTTGGTAATTTCCTTCACACCTGAGGCGTAACGTGTTCATTAAAAAACATTCTGCAGATGCACAGCTGTGCTGGTATCATTTCCATCAAAGCCTTTGAAAAATGTTACCTTAATCTGACAAGAATTTTAAAAGAAACGGACACTAATACATGCCTAAGAAAAGGGTAATCAGTGGTGTTTCTAACTGGGATCACACAGCAGTCCTCTGAAGATGAGAGATAAGCTAAAGATCTTCATACAGACTAAAATGTTCAGCGTCGGGGGGTCTAACTTTTAATGGATTTCTTACCATCCTAGATACTGCACATCTGCTATATCTATGAATGATCATTTGATGCATATAGTTAAAGATAGGCACATAGGGCAATATTCTATTGTACTATTATAGCTACTTAATATTTTTATTAATGCATAAAGTAAGGAATAAAAAATGTTACCTCTGAATTATTAAAGGAGTTGAAAGATAAAAAGAAAACAAAATCATTGTTACATCTTTCATGGACATTTATAAATGGCATATTGACAAGGTAGAAAATAATGTCTTCTTCAGAGCCTGTATGATCAGTCTTGTAAATTCCTGTTAAAGCCTGCATTTTCAGCTTCACAACTTCAACAGCACCTCAGAACCTACCCAGCTGTTCCACATGTGCACAATGGACCTGATCCTGATCCCATTACAGACAAAGGCAAAACTCCCATTGACTTCAATTGTGCAGGATCAGGACCTATGTCCTAAAGCCACGCAGACAGTACCAGAGTTTGGTGGAAAACTAAAATACGATATGCAGTTGACAATTTTTTGTACAAATATATTGGTTTATTTCTTTTGCAAATAAATGATCAAACTAAGTTATTTGCCAAATTATTTGTATTATTCATTTACATCAGAGTACTTTTCAGGTACAGGAACAGCAACCTGCCACTTGTCAGATGATGAAGATTTATTTTTTATAAACTAAACCAAATAAAAAAATGCATAAAACTAATTGCCTAAGATGAAACTCTGATAACTTGCAGCCTGCATGGAACAATTTTTATTGTTGAGTATTAAGGTCCTCTTGGGAAACCGATGCTGGCAAATATGTACAAGCTCTGATAAATTCCCAACTGTACTGACTTCCACAGCCCCCATACAGTGAATATCGGGTGGTAAGAAAAATGCATTTTTTTAAAGGAAGGGTAAGTTGAAGATCACTTACTGCAGCTAAACTGAAGCAGGGGCTCCACAAACGCTTCTTACTCAAATGACAAACATATCAAGTAAAGTTTTACTTTATCAATGTCGGATTCACTAGAGGTGGTTGCAGAGAGTCATTTGCAAAAGAGCTACAATTTAGGTTAAGGTTTGTAACAACAATAGGGCACTCCCCTTCCTAGAGAACACAGTGCTCTCGGGCAGGTGAAAGTGATGCAAGTCCAAGCAGAAAGTGATCCGACAACAAACGTAAAGGAGGAGTTGGGTGATGGGGGCGGAGGGGAGTTGGACAGACTTACAATGGGCTGCTACTATGCAACGTCCCCAACCCAAAGCGATCAATAAAGGAGGGAGAGAGGCTGCTAAACAGAGCCACTTCAGGTCCCCTTGTCACTTGTACTTACCAGTTCCCCAATCGCACGGTCAACAGCAGGAGCAGAAGCCTCATCCTGCTGCGGGGACTGCACAGAGGCCACGGGAAGGAGGGACGCCTCCATGAATCCATTGGCTTTAAGTCTCTCTTCTCTGGTTTTCTTACAAGTCACTCTCTAGTAGTTACTCTGCAATTTCGGCATCCCCCCAGCGCGTTGGAGCGAGAGGGAGAGAACCCCCCAGCCAGGTAGGATCCGACTCTAAAAGGACCATGCAACTTGGCCAATAAGCTCCTCAGGTTGCTCCATAAATTATCTTAAAAAGTGCTGGACGAATCAAGTCCTCGCAGAGGTGGAGCTTCCTTACTAGAAGGGAAACATGCTCGGCAGACAGGTTGGCGTCTTTTTAAACGGGAGGCGAAATAAAAAGAAGCCACCCACAGAGGGCCTCGCACGAGGAGAAGGGTCCCTTCGGCGCTGCTTGATTGAGAGCCGGGGACGGGGGGAGCTAGGAGCTCCTCGCAGAGCTCGGCGCCGCTGTAGAGGGAGGAAGTTGCAACTGCTTGATGATAAGGATTTAAAGCAAAACGGGACGGGGGCGGCATGGGGCTGTCCGTTGCCGAGGGCTGCGCTCCCGGGGGCAGAGTGCCAGCTCGTGCCCACCCGCGGCGCGGGGGCTGAATGTGCTCCCCCAAAGGCAGAGCGCAAGGAAGCCAGTTGCTTTCAGCGCCCGGCTAGCGCAGCGAGCCGCCTCCGGCTGCGCCCTGTGTGGCTCCCCCTGCGCCCACCTGCCGCCCCTGGTCGCTGCATCCAGCCCCCCGCGCGCGCCCTTTGCAGGCCCCTTGCGGCGACGAGGCTGCTCCCCCCTCCCCCGGCCCGCCGTGCTAGCCGAGGAGCGCGGAGCTCGAGCGCCTGTTGCCCGGGCGGTTGCTATGGGGATGGGGAAAGCCGGGCCCCAGCGGCGGCGGAGCGCGCGGGTTGCCGCCGCTCTGGCTCTGCCCTGCGCGCTCAGTCCCTGCAGCCGGCCGGGGCGGGGGTTGCGCTGCTGGCTGCTGCCGCCCCACAATGCGGGCACCTGCAGTTCCTCATCCGCCCCGCCTCTGGGGGCGCGACTCAGGGCAGGTCCGGCTGCGTGATGGGGATGTGGCTGGCACGGCACTTCCTGCAGGAGTTTGGAAGATGCGGGACTGTCCCCGCTCAGGCTGCCCCCCCTCCCACCACCGAGTGAGTGATCCCCCGCCCAGGAGGCTCCATCGCCTTTGATCTCATCTGCAAACGTCTCTCTTCATCTCTCCTGCTGCTGCTATTGATTCGAGCTGTATGATTTAGAGGAAGAGGCCTGGCCAAGTTGCTGAAGAAAGGGGAGTGCTGGCATCTCGACATCGCCCTCTCTTTGCTTCCCTTTCCCCAACACCTCTCCACCTCCTTTAATGAAGGGGGATCATATTATTTACCTGGCTGGAATATTGTGGGCCTTTACAAATATGAATCAGTAAGAGCTTTGGGCTGGAAAGTATTAAAGTATTCCAGGATGCAGGTGTATGAAAGTGACTAGGGATATTCAATGTGTTGAATACAGCACAAGGAAAATATAAGGCGGGGGGGGGGGGGTTGCTTTTTTTTTTTTTTTTTAAACAAGTAGGGTGGGCTATGAGTGATTAAACAGATTGGAGATGAAGGCTCACTCCTGCAAAGATTTACACATTGGCTTCACTTTATACAGTGACTAGTCCCCCTGACTTTAATGAGATGGGTAAATATTTGCAGGAAAAGTCTAAATAAAAAATAAATTATGTTACAGCAAGTGTTGGTGTACTTTATTATTTATTTGCATTGTGTTCATGTTCAGAAGCTCCACTCTAGATTAGTTTTGCACAGTACAGAGCTTTACACGATAGAGCTTAAATTTGAAACCGCTTTGAAATCAGTGTAGTTGCACCAGCTTCCAGGTCAACAGAGGGTTATTTTATTTAATTTTTTTTAAAAGTTGCCCTGCTTCATTAGAGTGACCCATTTTAATCTTGATAATCTAAGTTAAATATTACTCAAAAGATGGAAAATATATTGAAGTGTAGTTCAATCTCCTTGCTACTGCTTATTTCAATATTGGCTAGTAGTGGGTTCTTCATTCTTGTCTCCTTCTGTAGGGTGGTGTTACTGTATTTTGAGAACTATATCTTCTTGAAAGGATAAGAATTTTTACAATACACTTCAGACAGATGCAGTATATCAAGTGAAAAATTCAAAGACTTGAAGATAAGTAGCTGGACAGGCAGGTGATGGCAGAAAGTAGAGCCTCCAGGGAATGATGACACTGACTAGCATGAGCTCAGTCACCACAAAACATGTATTTGTTAATGAAAATGGATACAGAGAAGCTCCCCCTTGGTTGTGTTGACTTCAAAGACAATTTTGCCCTGTGCAGCATGTACAGTACACCCGCTCTCATTTCCCAGCTAGGCTTGTCTATGGATGGCACTGATGCACGCACACACTGTTTTCCAAGGGGCCTACAATCAATCATTTTACTTGGACCATTAAGGCTCTTGCTAATCCATAAAAATGTTATCCTACCCCCATGCTGTCATAACAGGAAATGGAGACACATTGTTAGTGGAGAAAATTTGTATGAAGTGTAAATAGATGAATATGAAGAGACTGCTGTACCTGTGCTGAGGCCCATGGACTTCAGTGCAGCTCCCTGAAGGCATAGCAGTCTGTGCATACTCAAGAAATGCCAAGCTCAGGCAAAGATTAGGACTACACTACTGTAGTATGTACCAAGAACAAACAACTAAAGTTGACAGTAAAAAAAAAAAAAAATGTACTTAGCACAGGTTTCATTTTCATCTGATTTGTAATTTTAAAATGGTATCTAAGGGAAGAAAAAGTTGAAACCAAAACCAATGAGATCACGCCAAAAAGGCAAGCAAACAAACTTGATATGTGCTCCGTTTGTCACAGAGATAAATGTAGATCAAGGTAGCTCCAAGCCTTAGCCTTCCTTCCTTGTACTGTCTTTGAAAAAGTAGAAACTAATCCTTCACGGAAACACCAGAAAGGAGGACAATCTATGGTAAATTAAGTGAAAAGTGAAAGATTAAGAGGGCAAAGAGGGGTTTTGAAGAGTAAGTAGCTAAAGACATTTTTAAAAAAATCCTAAAAATGTCTTGCTGCTTATCAGAAACAGGAATCCTGAGAGATTGACAAAATGTACTGAAGTACAAGTGAGCAAAAGAAACCATAGAGAAGAATAAGGAAATAAGAGAGGATGTTGGGAAAATACTTATTCCAGAACTAAAAAAATATGGAGGTTTTAGGGGTGATTCTTAGAATTTTAGGCCAAAGAGCATTGCCTCAGAAACAGGAAAACTGATTATGTCAGGTGAAACCTAGAATTCTAAGACCCCCAGATGGTGTACTGGGGACAAACCAGCATGGCTTCTAATCTGTTAGAATTCTTCAGTCATGTCAATAAAGTAATGGATAAAGAAGAAGTCTTTCAAAAAGTCCATCACAAAAGTCTATTAAGGAAATTACACAGTCATAGGATGAAAGGTAAAATATTGTTATGAATTAGAAAGTGGCTAAGACACAAAGGATAGGAATAAATGGTCAAAGGTTAGCATAGCTAAAGTTAACGGTGTGGTGTCCCAAGGTTCTGTACTAGGATGGGTGTCAGTTAATCTATTTCTCATTGGCAAGGAAAACGGGGATTAGCAGTGATGTGGCAAAATTAGTGAGAGACACAAAGCTATATAGGTCAGTCAAAACTGAGAAGAAAGTGAGGAATTTCAGAGAAGGCTAACAAAAATGAGGTAAAGGGACAGCAAAATGGCAGATGAAATTCCATGCTGGCCAGTGTAAGATGTCAAACGTCTTTTACTAAAACAAAAACAGAAAGTCAAGTCCAAAATATTATGGATGTGACGGGTTCGGTCACAGAGATCCCCTTGGGACTGTCGCCTGCTGTGCTGAAATTACCTCTGAGCCTGTTTTCCCTGCCAGCTTGGGACTCCAGAACCCTGCTTTGTTGAGCCAGACACTCTAGCCTGCTGCAACACAGACCCAGGATCTGGGCCACACCCGCAAAGTTACAGACTAACTAAAAATAGCTCAGCAGTTTACCTGTCTCCAGCACCCAGACACCCAGCTCCCAATGGGAGCCAAACCCCAAATAAATCCGTTTTACTCTTGTCAAGGTTCCTTCCCCACTCTGAACTGTAGGGTACAGATCTAGGGACCTGCATGAAAACCTCCTAAGCTTACTTTCACCAGCTTAGGTTAAAATTTCCCCAAGGTACAAATTAATTTTATCCTTTGCCCCTGGATCCACTGCCACCACCAAACTTTAACTGGGTTTACTAGGAAACATAGTTTGGACATGTCTTTCCCCCCAAAATCCTCCCAACCCTTGCACCCCACTTCCTGGGGAAGGTTTGGTAAAAATCCTCACCAATTTGCATAGGTGACCACAGACCCAAACCCTTGGATCTTAGAACAACGAAAAAATATTCAGTTTTCTTACAAGAAGACATTTAATAGAAGTAAAGGAATCACCTCTGTAAAATCAGGATGGTAGATACCTTACAGGGTAATTAGATTCAAAACATAGAGAATCCCTCTAGGCAAAATCTTAAGACACACAGACAGGAATAGTCATTCTATTCAGCACAATTCTTTTCTCAGCCATTTAAAGAAATCATAATCTAACACATACCTAGCTAGATTACTTACTAAAAGTTCTAAGACTCCATTCCTGTTCTATCCCCGGCAAAAGCAGCATACAGACAGACCCAGACCCTTTGTTTCTCTCCCTCCTCCCAGCTTTTGAAAGTATCTTGTCTCCTCATTGGTCATTTTGGTCAGGTGCCAGCGAGGTTACCTTTAGCTTCTTAACCCTTTACAGGTGAGAGGATTTTTCCTCTGGCCAGGAGGGATTTTAAAGGGGTTTACCCTTCCCTTTATATTTATGACAACTCTGTATAAAGCGTATACAGGGTAAATTCGTAAATTGTTCGCCCTCTATATCACTGATAGCTGTGCATCTGTCTCTGTTCACTCTCCCAGGTATTAATAACTTACGATGGGTTTATTAATAAACAAAAGTGATTTTATTAAATATAAAAAGTAGGATTTAAGTAGTTTCAAGTAATAACAGCCAAGACAAGGTAAGTCACAAAGTAAAATAAAACAAAACATGCAAATCTAAGGCTAATACATTAAGAAACTGATTACAGGTAATCTCACCCTCAAAGATGTTCCAATAAGGTTCTTTCACAGACTAGACCCCGTCCTAGTCTGGGCCCAATCCTTTACCCTTGTACAGTCTTCGTTAGATCCAGCAGACATCTCAGGTGATAAGCAGGAGTTCTCATGACTGGCAGCCCCTTTTGTCCTGATCCACCCCCTTTTATAGCTTTGGCACAAGGGGGAATCTTGTCTCTGCTTGTCCCCACCCTCGCCTCATCAATGGAAAAAGTACAAGGATTAAGATGGATTCCAGCATCATATGACACGGCCACATGTCAATGTAAGCCCACACGTATACAGGAAGGTGTGCAGGTAAATAAACCATTTACAACGAATTGTCCTAGTCAATGGGAGCCATCAAGATTCTAAATCACCATTAATGGCCCACACTTTGCATAATTATAATAAGAAAAGGAGTACTTGTGGCACCTTAGAGACTAACCAATTTATTTGAGCATGAGCTTTCGTGAGCTACAGCTCACTTCA